CCTGCCCCCTCTTGGCTAGCACCACCCCGATACGCCTCCGGGCACCTCATCGACTGGAAATACCGCTCCAATCGCACCCGCCACTCATCCGCTACAGCCGGGTCGGAACCTCCGAAAAACAAGGACATCCTCATCCGCTACAGCCGGGTCGGAACCTCCGAAGAACAAGGACATCCCGAACCGCTGCAGCTGCTCCAACATCCGCAGGTAGTACGGCTGCTCGACCACCGCACCTACCCCCTCAGGCGGTACAACCCCAACAACAGGCTGCACCAGGCCCAAGAGGAGCCTGCACACCAGGCCCAAGAGGAGCCTGCACACCAGGCCCAAGAGGAGCCTGCACCGGCGGTACCGCACCCGGTAACCGCTCCAAGAGCTGCGTCAGTAAATCCGCAAGCCGATCATTCTGACCCTGGGCTTCACCTGTTGGAACACCCCCGACCGGGTTCCCAACAACACTAGTACCGTTCCCGGACGAACCGGCTCTCACGTCACTCACACTCTCAGCACCCACGGGCCCGTCCTGATGCGTCTGGGACTCACTAACAACATCGGCCGTAGCACTTCGGCCCACACTCGTGTCGCTATCCGAGGCAATACCACGCCCCCCACCGCGACCACGCCCACGACCACGACCACGACCACGACCGACAGCTCCACCTCTAACCATCTGCAACACAACAGAAGGCTAAGAACACCAAACAAATCACCAAACAACACACTTACCGTGGAATCTCATTGAAGGCTCGAGAGGATGATCTAGGTCTCCATGCTCACACAATTGATTACACACACAATCATTCAGCATGCAATCCACATCATCATTCCTCATCAATGAAATTCACACATCACATCACAATTTTTATCAATTAAATCTCGTCCTAGAACCGTAAATGCTCTGATACCAAATTGAAAGAACCCATCCCAATTTTTTTTTATATTTTACTTGCATGCAAACAATACAGATTAACCCATTTAAAGCAACCCAGACAATTTTACTAACACAACCAACTCAACGTAACCAGCGGAAGACTTAAATAAAACTCCAATCAAACCATTCCATTAATCCAACAAGTTCAACCATAAATATTCCAGAAACGAATTCATCCTAACATGCTTCTAAATTCCATTCTAGCATCCTAACAAAACCTACAATCATCTAAACACCAATGAGCGCCTATATCATCCTCCTCTCCTCGCCATGATTCCACGGATCACACTTTGCTTTTACCTGCATCAAAGAAAGAGATGCATAAGTATTTCATAAATACTTAGTGAGGCAATCATACCACCACTGGCTATACACACAAGCACATTCAACCATAATCCAAGTAAAAGAACCAAACAACCAATAAAAGATAAACCAGAATCGCTTCTGACTATCGGTGTCGATCGACACCCTCCACTGGTGTCGATCGATACTCGCTGTCGACCCTCGCGGACGACACCGGTCTCGACACTCCAATCGTAAGACGCAGTTATCCTCGCGCGATGAAACGTTGGTGTCGAGCGACACCCACCCTTGGTGTCGATCGACACCGACTCTCAGCAGACGCTCCAACTGCGTTTCTCACTGGATCTCTTCTCCAAAAGACCACCACGATAAGAACGAGTCTACAAAGGATTCCACAGGCATCAATCATCAAATAAACAGCCAAACAAGCAAAGGAAATCAATCAAACAATCATCAAAACCCTAAAATAAAGATCAAACATGCTTAGATAAGCCTGGTCATGCACTCACCTCTTTAACAAGAAGAACAGCAACGAAAACAAGGAAGAACAAGGAAGGATCTGTCTCCTCTAACACCACACAACACTGATCTAGCCTCTACTAGCCTTAAACCACCAAGAACACCACCAAGCACCACCAAAGACTCACAAAACCCTCAGAAGCTCTATAACCTTTTTCTCAATCTGGAAGTGTTAAAAAGCGGCTGGGAAGAGACAACACACGACCTCCCCTCTTTTAAACACGACCTAGGGTTAATCAACCCAAACCAAGCCTCAATTGAACCGACGATTTAAAACTTAAACCGTCAAACCAGAAATACTAGTGTCGATCGACACCCAACCACAGTGTCGATCGACACCACCCGGATTTCCAGACACGAGCGTTACAGAATTTTCCTTGTCCCTAGTATATCTTGTTTAATTGGATTTTTATTAAGTCTTCCGCTAGTTACGTTGATTGGTTTGTGTTAGTGAGATTGTCTGGTTTGCTTTAAATGGGTTAATTCGATTTGCATGTTTAAAAAAAAAATGGGATGGGTTCTTTCAGGTACTATCTAACCAATGTTTTTAAACCAGATTACGTTTCGGGTTATTGGGCTAAGCAGGTTTGACCACGGGTCAATTGATTAAAATTTATCTATACAGTGTCAAATTTAACAAAATATAAAAATTAACAATAAAAATAAAGTGATATAATTTTTTTAATCCAAGTATACAACGAAAAGACCACTAATAAAACATGCACAATTCACAACAACTTATTTTAATCGTGTTTGTGTGCCATTTTGATATGAAATAAAAAACTATAGCTTCCAAAAATAACTAAAACTCTATATTTTATTTCCAAAATAAAACCCACCCGGTTCACCGAGGCACGGGTTATTGACGAGTTATACATTACAAGAAAAAGATCGATTTCCTACCGCAAATATCGTAGGAATTTGCCTATAAAAATATTCGTAGGAAATCGTTCCTGGTCATAATTTCGTACGAAATTTCTTACGAAAAACCTTCAAAATATTTTGTGTAGGAAATTTCGTAGGAAAATAGAAGGAATTTTATTTACCATTTTCCTTCCAAAATAGTTGTAGTAAATACATTACTTCCACTTTCCTACCAAATAACTCTTACTATTTTCCTACGAAAATGATAAAATATAAAATTAATGAAATTAATTTACAATAATTATATTTATTTCGAAATAAAAGTAAAATTTATAATTAATGTAAATAAATCCGACTATTAAAATTTGTAATTTTTTATTCAAATTAATTAAACAAAAATACAATTCTTTTTCTTTTAAAATAGTAAATAATTCTAAATACAAACGGGATCAAATCGGTTAAGATTACAAACCAAAATTAAATATCTACAATATCAACCTAAACCAAAATAGACAAACATCGTTGCTTTCAATACATCTTCTCTTTGAAAGAACAAACCAGATGAGCTAAATACTAGATCTGTCACTATAATCATAAGAAGCACCATTATCAACACTATTGAGTAGAGAACTCTTGTGCCTTTTCTTTAGCAATCTGGATTTCATCAATTAGAAGAGCTGCGTTGTAGTTAAAAGACAGCGGAGGAATGGCGGTGGCGGTGGCGGTGGGATAAGGTGAAGCGGTGGCGGTGGGATAGAGAAACCAGCGGATTTGCCAAGATCTTCTTTTTCTTTGAAATCTTTGCTATAAAATCAGAAAATAATAGATCAGGAGGAGAGAGATGCAAAGTGAGGAAGAGAGAGATGCAAAAAAGGTATACCTGACTTCATAGTTAGCAAAAAGGGGTATCTTTAGATGGTAGCAAAATAGCAACATCGAACCATAATGAAGTAGAAAGATAGAAACATGAAGAAGAAATAAAGAAGAAGCGTTGAACTAAAGAAGAGGAAGAAGCGGCTTTTATTATTTGTGAAAACCCTAATTGTTCCTGAAGATTCAATATGTGATATTAAGAAAGGAACAATGCTTGCGGTGCAACTAATCAAAACAGATTTGATGATATGGGACGAAGCACTGATGTCACATCGCCACACATTTGAGGCACTAGATAGAACATTAAGAGACTTGCTCTCCACTGAAGAATGTTTAGCAAGCGAAAAACCATTTGGTGGGAAAACCGTAATTCTTGGAGGAGTTTTTAGGCAGATACTACCGGTCATACCACATGGAACAAGAGCAGATACGGTACTTGCAGCTATAAGCCACTCATATTTATGGAATTCCTGCAAAGTATTTTGTGTTAGAAAAAAACATGAGATTACACCATTCAAAGACAAGGTTTGCGGCTAGGCTATTAAATATTGGAAATGGAAATGCACCAACATGCGAAACAGATGATATTATCGATAAAGGTGATGGTGAATTCGTGCAAGTGCATAGTTCTTTTTTTATAGAGTAAAAAGGAAATCACCTCCAACTAATCACTGAGGCAGCATATCCAGGAAATAAAATCTCCCAGACCACCTTTGAATACTTGACAGAACGAGCAATCCTCACTCCACGGAATGAGTATGTAGATGATATAAATGCATACATGTTATCTAAGGTTAAAGGAGAATCAAAAGAATACTTCAGCTCAGATAGCATTGGAAAAGCAGACACAGATGGAGCAGATTATGAAGCACTTTACCCGGTAGAGTATTTAGAGTTTCCAGGTTTGCCAAAGCACAAAATCAGCCTAAAAAAGGAGTCCCTATAATGCTCCTGCGAAACATAAATCCAAAGGAAGGTATGTGCAATGGAACAAGAATGATTGTCACTAATTTAGGAGAAAGGGTGATAGAAGCTGAAATAGTAACAGGAACACATGTTGGTAAAAAGGTATTCATACCAAGGATCATTTTGTCACAAACACAAACAGACCATCCATTCACACTTCGGAGACGACAGTTTCCAGTAAGAGTTTGCTACACCATGACGATTAACAAAAGTCAAGGATAAAGCTTGAAAACAGTTGTCCTCTATTTACCAAATCCGGTTTTCAGCCATGGACAACTCTACGTTGCTCTTTCTAGAGTTACCGCACCTAATGGCCTAACCATTCTACAAGGAGAAGACCCACAAACAGGTGGAGTTAGAAATATAGTCTACAAGGAAATCTACAATGAACTACCAAACACCAACGGTAAACTTCTAAACTTACTTCCAAAGAAAGATAATATATACTAACACTTTGCTCGAAATGGTCCAGGCTGGAGGTCTAGAATATACATACACTATGGGCAAAGTCACCATCAAAGAATCCCAATGTAAGAAACACACAAAACTATTTAACAATCATTCAAACCAAATAAAGAAAATCCAATGCAAATAAAAATAAACTCTCACCAAACATTTTAAATCCTTCAATTTGCAGGTTCAGCCATGACGAAGTCTTTGAATCACTCTGGAATTCTAACAACAACTCTAAAGAAACGAACCAAAAAAAAAACAACAAATGTTGTCGGAATTGAGACGAGCAGCCCTGATGCTTGTCTTTGCCAATCATCATTTAGTTCCTACGTTATGATGAACAATTATAAGATGCTAAACTGATCCTGGAAAAATATATACGAACAAGTACGAGACAGTTTTTAAGAATTGCAGTTAGTTTCCCCTGTTTTTATAGAAATTATTATGTTGCTTATGTTCTTATGTATAATGAGAATTTCTGAATCATCTAATCCTGAATTCTGAAAGTCAAATTTCTGCTACAGGAATGAACGACATATGATTCATTTTATGTCTACCAGTTAAGTGCTGGTCTCAGGCGGTGTGGCAATACATCACAGATCTTACCTCAGATTCTCCGCTTGACAGTGATATCATGTGAGACCATTCTCCGTTTTGTTTTATTTCTGCTAGACCACCTACAATAGCTTCAATAGCTTAGGAATGATAGAGAATTGAATCTCAAAAAGAGTTATATAGAGAGTTCTAAACTCACCATTTTCGTGTTTCAAAACAACACTCATGAATAAGAATCAATCTCCTCAAACAAAACAGTTTAATACTAAACAAAAGCACAACCTCCAATAATGAAACTTTGGAGAATAGAATATTAGACGAGAGCTCGAGAACCTAAACTCATTTAAACCTTTACCAAATTCCCAGAACTGAGCTAAAACTAGAAGATATTTATACATATACATTTAAAAAAAAAAAAAAAAAAAAAAAAAAAAACAAAAAGAACTGGATATTAAACAAGAGCTCCTAAAAATTCAACAATTTTTTGTGTTACCTTAGTGCCAAGTTGACGAAAGAAGAGAGTCACAGTGAAGGTGGTCTTAAAAATAAATTCAAAATGCCTCTAAAAACATCGAGATTGAAGGGAGATATAAGCCTTTAAAACCGAAATATGACCTCAGACCACAATAATCAATCAAAAAAAGAAAAGGATGGAACAAAAAAAAACAGTACCCAGACTGGCCAACCGAAAGAAAAAAAAGGTAAAAAAAAAAAACCAAAACCCTATAATAATATATAAAAAACGTTAAAAGCCTATTGTAACTAAATTACAAGACAAAAATACAAAAAAAAAACATATACCTTATAGGACAAAAAAGCATCAAGTGGGCTCTATGTACACCAAAAAAACATATATCTTACCTTCGTGGCTTTTATAACAGTCAAACACAGTTAACTTTATTACCTTAATGAGATACCAAAAACATTTTATCTACTCTTTCATACCAAACTTTCAGTTCTACTATGCAAAGATCCAATGTAATAAACTTCACTATTAGAAGACCACATGTTGCTCCACACAACATCACCGTACAAATATCTTACAATCCAAACGGTGGGGGACCTATGTGGCCAACTTTGAGATCCAACCTCCAATACCTTTTAACTTATCACAAGATTCAAGAGAACGTGGCTACAAGAATGACAACAATGTTCCTCCTATTCCTCAATGCAGTTCATGTGACACAACTTCAAAGAGGTAGAGGACTGTGATTCCACCTTCCATGCTAATTCCAGAATAGACATCGTTCTACTCATTGGGGAGCTAGAAAATTCCAAAAGACTACCAACCACAGATGAAGAAAATGAAGAGTGCACTATCTGCCTTGAAACATTCGAAGGACGAGATGATATCAACACCCTCAAATGTAACCACATCTATCACCATGAATGTATAATTCCATGGTTGTCTACACGACAAAATTGTCCAATATGTAGGAAAACAAATCTCTAATTATACTACAATAAAATAGAGATGTTTTTCTTATTGGTCACACATAGACTTCTTATTCTTACATATCACATTATATACTTCAATGCAATCTTAGAAAAAAAAAACTATTACTTCTTCCAATACCAAACCACATATTATTAATCCTATTCAAAAAATTTTAAAATATACAAAATAATAAAAATATATTTACATATTTTTATATAGACATTAACAATTTCGCAAAATTAAAAACATTAAAAAACTCGAACCAAAAAAATTATCCACACATATATATATTCTTGCAAGAAAAAAAAAATTTACAAAGACAAAATAACATTAAAAATAAAATTTATAAACACACATACTGGGCGTAGCCCGGATTATCCCCTAGTAGATATAAATTTGAAAAAACAAATTGAGACACCACCACCGATGTGGATGCTCTTAAGTAGTCTAAAGAAGCAATGTTCCTCTCTTTCTAACTTTTTCTCACCAACTGCTTAATAAGCTATGTTGGAGACCACCTCCAGCAGTTCAAAACTGTGAGAGTTGCCAAAAAAAAAAATATATTTTTTAATTATACAATTATATTTTAGGTTTTTTTTTAATAAACGTAGACCACTAATAATAGCTCATTTGTACTTTGATTGGAAAATAGCATAAGAAAATGTGCCATTAATAGATCTGTGAGAAACTTTGTGTTTTCTCTTTCCTATTTTTTTATTTTTTACAGTAATACCCTTCACTAGGGCACCTGCAATGGGAGATTGTAATACAAACTTTTTGATATTTAAAAAATAAAAAATAAAAAATGAAAGAAAGAGAGTGAAGATAGGCTCTTAATATAGGTATTTTGGAGACTCATCAAAATTCACAAGAACTCCATTAAATACATGCCTAAAATCTATTGGTTATATTTTGTTTTTTAACTAATTTTTAGTTTTATAGTTCAATTGTATTTAATATATGTATATATATATATATATATTTTGGTTTAAGGATTTTTTGAAGTTTTCAGTGATGGAGATGGTCTTAGCACTCCTCACTGGAGCTGGTCTTACAGCTCAACATTGCACAAAAAATAGAGGGTCTTTAACATTAAATATAATTAAAATAAGGAAAAAAACAAAGTGAATAGGATGTAACTGTGTCTCCAGATACACATTTTGGTCATTTGGACACCTTACGTGTCAGCACCTAAATGAGGGAGAAATATCAATACAAAGTTAGTGAGTGTTTAGATTAAACTAATATTAAATTTCATATTAAATTATATTTAAGACATTCTTAAAGGTTTACCAATGTGGATGGTCAGAAGCAGTACTAAAACAAAATGGGATACATGCGAGAGATTCAAAAGTTGAAGTAATAAAAGAAAGTAAAAAATAAATTAAATAAAATATAATAATATTATTTTTTTCGATTTAGTACTTCTCATTAGTGTAAACCAATAGAGGTGGTCTAAAGGAAAAAGGATTGTAGATGTAAATTTAAATTATTAATCTATATTATTAAAGGAGTAGTCGAAAGTGCTCACATTCAATCTCACAAAAATATTACTAAGTTACCCTTAATGAAAAATACCCTTAATTGTAATCTTTTCCTTAGTCCTTAATTAATTAAAACAAAAAAAAAATCGGCTCTTTGTAAGACAAAATCGAAATTTTAGTTCAATCCGGGTTACTTTTTTACCCTTAATGAAAAATACCCCTAACTTAAAAGTTTAAGTTAACTCTTATTTAATCAAAACCTAACAATAAAAATTAGAAATTTTAACCTATAATTGGAACTTCTAAAACCCTGGCCGAATTTGAAAAAAAAACGATATAGAGTGTTTAAAATTTAAGGTTTAGATGAAATGGGCTTATTCGAAAAAGTCCATATAAAAAATACATCTTAAATTGAAACCCTAGAAAAAAATTGTCGTCTACTACTATAAATATTAGAGTTTCAATGCTCTCTCCATAACTAAAACAAAAAACTAAACCTAAACTTTTCTATCATGTTCGCGGAATTATATTTTGATATTGATCTTTGTTCATCGTCCTCTAATTTTTGTTTTCTTTATCGTGTAATAGTTGTTTGGAAGGCAATGTCAAGTAATACTACACTTTTGTCTCTGGTTACATCACCTTTTGGATTAGGTATATTATTTTGGGTTTAATTTATATATTGATTCTTTCGATACGTGCATATTATTAATGATTTTTGATAAACAAACGATAATTACTGAATTGTTTATATTAAATTGTTTCATAATATAGTTGAACAAAATATTTAAGAAATCTTTATTACATCGTCTTGATATACAATAAGTGTGTAGCTTAATAAATAAACATAGGTTTAAAACTAATTAATTTTGACGATGGAATGTAGATATTAAGGTCTAATTTATTAAATCTGAAAAGGATAGAGATAAATATCTTGATTAACTTATATAAGTTAATCCCCATAAATAAAAAATATTCATATATTTATTGTATATATCCAAGTAAGTAAATATATACAAAATATATTGTATATATCCAAGTTATTAAATATATATGATTAAAATATATAACCGATATATATCAGAAATTTATATGCTTATATTACAATATAAAACGATAAATATGTTAGTAATTAGTGGTTATAAAACGATAAATATGTTAGTAATTAGTGGTTAAATATAAATTTTACATATTTATAATGATAACTATAAGACGAGCAGATTATAAAAAGTAAAAGATTTATATAAGTTAAAGATAAATTTCCATATTAATAAAGGACATTATTCATAAGGATAATTATACATATATTAAACGAGTATATATATATATATATATATGACCATTCATTGTACAAACTTTCATACCTCCGACGATTCTCTAGGTTTAGATTTTGTTTTCATTACTCAACTTTGTAATAACAAATTTTATTCTGTTAGTATTTTCAATACATAAACAAATTTGTTTCTATGTTTATTCAGGTTTCATTATGGTGAACATTCATGCTGTTGATGGTGTATCACGTTTGAATCCTTCGAAATATGGCTGGAGAATTCAGGTGAAAGTGTTATGTTTATGGGAGGAGAATTTTTTAAAACTTGGACCAAGTTTGGAAATGGTTTTAGTTGATATTCAGGTTTGATTGTTGTCTAAATAACATGCGTTTTTAAATTTATTTTTATAAACTACATATTCATAAATATTACGATTTAATACCATAATCTTACTTAAAGGTGCAGTGTTCCTTCCGTGGCATTCTTTATGATAGATTTATTTCTAAATATGCTGTTGGTGATTGCTTGAAATCGAAAATTTCAAAGTGGTGGATCAATATGGGTCTTGCAAAACTACTACTCATCGATATAAAGTTATTATTTTGTGTCAAACCATGATTAAGAAGGCTATGATTATTGGAGGTGGAGAGTATTTTGATTTTATCGATTATAAACATATATTGGATGGTACTCATTGTGATGATTACTTGGTCGGTAAGTTATTTTAATGATGTGTTTTAAGATTAAGTGAAACTATGATTTCTGTCTGTTTCCTATGTTATTCTACATTAGGGTTTGTGTCCATACTGATTATTTTTTGTTTTTTATTTTTATTTTTTAGATATCATTGGAGAGGTTATTCACGTAGGAAAGTTTGATACTTGGGATCATGTAAACAACGATAGTGAGCAGAAAAATATCGTTCAAGCTACGTCTAAATCAAGATCCGTTCATATTCAACATCTCTTCAAGTTTATTTGCCGAGATGGACTGTCCAACAATGGATGTACTTCCAACGTTCTTCGTCATTATGATTCTGAACTCGAAGATTCTGACGACGATAGTATTTACACTGATAATATTGACTATGAAGGAGATGCAATGGATGAGGACTATGAGCAAACTGAAGAAGAAGAGGATGTTGAAGATGAAGGTTTTTATGAGATAATGGATACGGAAGATAATGAATATGGGAGTGATGGATATGGCGAAAGTAGTAATTCTGAAGAAGAAGAAGATCATGAAAACGATGAAACAGAAACTGAAACTGAAGGATATGATGATAGCGATAGGGACGAAGAAGATATTGGTTATAATGATACACAAGAAGAAACAGATGATGAGGATGATGAGTAAATTTATAACTGTAATACATTTAATAATATTGTTGTTCAAGGTAACACTAACATACTGTAATCATGCGTTTCTGAAGATATGTATCAGCATGCGAAGCTACGTGGAAAATATTAGCTTCTCCGATATGTTATTGTACAACACCTGTTGAAAAATTGCCCTTCCATCTTCCTGGCCAGGAATTGGTTATTTATAATGAGGATGATCCTATAGAAAATGTTATGTCACGTTCAACAAATGGAGGAAGCAAATTCTTAGCATGGATGGAATGCAATAGACTTGACCATGAAGCTAGGAAGTTAACGTATGCTGAATTTCCGACCGCTTATGCATGGTATAAAAAAGAAAAAATGTGGAAGCGGAGATCAATGAAAAGAAAAAGTTTTGCAATAGGAAGGATTACGTACGTACCACCTTCTACAGGGGATGCTTACTACTTAAGAGTTTTGCTTGATAAAATTCCAGGTGCAACCAGTTTCGAATTCTTGAAAACGGTTAACGGAGTTCTTTACGGAGAATTTAAAGATGCTTGCTATGCATTAGGATTATTGGATGATGACAAAGAATATATTTCAGCGATAAAGGAAGAAAGTTTTTGGAGTCTTGGGAAGTACTTAAGGAAGCTATTTGTGATACTCTTGATTTCCAAGAGTGTATCTGTTCCGTTAAATCTTTGGCTCGCGACAAGAGATATACTATGCGAAGATATTTTATTTCTCCATAGGAACCGCATGAATGATCAAGGTACATCGAAATCTTAATCAAATTTTATGAAATATTTGTTCTATTGTTTATGTATGTCTTTATAAGAGAGTTTTTATAATCCTCGATATAAATGTTATTAATTCTATTACACAAATTGAAATGCAGGTCTAGTGTTAACACAAGCTCAAATACGAAACATATGTTTGTCGGAAATCAAATTGCTTATGCGTTCGAATGGCACTTCTCTTTCAGTATTCTCAAATATGCCAACACCAGACAAATAGTTCGATAAATCCTACTGAAAACAAGCTTATCATGGATGAGAACACCTATAAACCTCATGAACAAAAAATTGAATACAACAGACTGTTTGCTATGTTAACTGGAGAGCAAAGACGTGTCTATCAAGAAATAATTGACTCGGTGAATCAAAACAAGGGTGGTATGTTTTTTGTGCATGGATTCGGTGGTACTGGAAAAACTTTCTTGTGGAGTATTCTTGGAGCTGATATTCGATCTAAAGGTAATATTGTTCTCAACGTTGCATCAAGTGGAATAGCTGCTTTGCTATTGGAAGGTGGTAGGACAACTCATTCTAGGTTTTGTATACCTATCAATGTAAACGAATATTCAATGTGTTCGATCGATGCAGAGTCCGATCTAGCAGAATTGATAAGAGAAGCTAAGCTCATTATATGGGACGAGGCTCCGATGATGAACAAGTGCAATAGGATTTTTGGAGGTAAGGTCGTTGTTTTGGGAGGTGATTTTAGACAGATTCTCCCTGAAATTCCTGAAGGTGGTAGGGTCGCAACGGTTTTAGCCTCTATAAATTCATCCTTGCTTTGGCAAAGTTGTAAAGTTTTAAAACTTACAGAAAATATGCGCTTACGGAAAGGCGTTAATAGTGAGTAATCGGTTGCTCTTGCCGAGTTCTCAAAGTGGCTTTTGGATATTGGTGATGGGAAAATCAACGAGCCAAATGATGGCGAGGTCGAAATAGAAATACCCGAAGATTTACTAATAACAGCATCTGAGGATCCAATCCACGCAATTGTTCATGAAATCTATGGTAATTCCTTTGTTAAAGAGAAGGACCCAAAATTCTTTAAACGCAGAGCTATTCTTAGTCCAAGGAACGAAGACGTTGATAAAATCAATCAATATATGCTTTCTCAACTACCAGGTATGTAATGTAACTGTTTACGTGTATTTAATTCTATGCTTTTTTGGTCATATTATAAGTATAGTAGATTATCTGTGGTTATTCATATTTAATTATATCATAGGTGAAGAAAGACGTTATCTTAGTTCAGATTCCATTGAAACGTCGGATACAAGTGTTTTCGACGATATGGTCTACTCGCAGGAAATTTTAAACAGTATCAACATTTCAGGATTACCTAAGCATGAATTAACATTGACGAAGGGAGCCCCTATCATGTTGCTAAGGAATATAGATCCTAAAGGTGGTTTGTGCAATGGTACAAGGTTGATTGTTACTCAAATGGCTAATCATGTTATAGAGGTAAGGATCGTAACAGGTAACGGTGTTAATCAAAAAGTACTTATCCCAAGAATGTTTGTGTCTCCGCCGGATGCAAAGTTTCCTTTCCGTATGAGACGTCGCCAGTTTCCTGTAGCTCTTGCATATGCGATTACTCTTAATAAAAGGCAAGGTCAGACGTTGGATTATTTTTACCAAAGCCAGTCTTTACACATGGGCAACTATATGTTGCACTATCTTGAGTGACGACGAGAAAGGATTGAAGATTTTGATTACGAATGAAGATGGGGCATGTCAAAACAATACCCTTAACGTAGTCTTTAAAGAAATTTTTGACAACATTTAATTACATATCAAGTTGTTGCATTTCCGGTTTTACGTTCTTTGCCTTTCATGCAAGAATATGTATTATCATGGATGCACTTTTTTTGGTTGCAGTCTTGAATAATTACGGTTTATATAGTCAATCTTTTAAATTTTCAAACGAATCAAGTTAATGTATTTCTAAATAGCTTCTCTAATAGTTATAGTCGCGGAGCCGTGTACTTAATGATGAGTCGATTCAATTCTTTTTCATTATAGATAAACTAATCCAAGACATACCAGACCCAATAAATGCCTTGGTTGGAAAGACACACCAAATCCTGTTATGTATTGAATATGAACACATTAACAGACTCATTGATATTCAGCTATCTAAACTCAAAAAAAAATTGGATCTCTTTGTAAAGTTTCACGTCTTACCTTTCCATGCACGAATAAGCATTACCATGCATCCTCTTTACATGTTACTTTTGTTTTCAATCTTCAATAAGAATGCTGTTGCATTTACTTTGTTGTTGTTTTAAATTTTAAATCTAATAAACTATTAGTTTTTGTTTTTAAAAATTGATACTTAATCCAAGTGCTTATTTGTTAGCTAAATTAAAATTGTTATTCCATTAACAGATGGTTTAAATGTAGGGTATACATATGTAAATTTTGATTAGTGTTAAAAATTCTTTAGTGTACAAATGTTTTATCAAAAATAATCAAAATTAATTAAATCTAATTTATTAGATATTATTTGATTACATTAAATAAATCCACACAAAATCATAATTAAAAACAAAAAAACTTAATTGATAACTTAAACGACGCACCATTTCGATTTATGATTATAAATATTATTTCACTAATAGACTTTTCATCTTCTTCCAACTCTGAATCTATTTGGCAAAATTGAAACCGATTAAAACCTTAAACACCGATACTCTTCTTCAACACTTTTCTTCAAACGGAATCACGATATTCTACAAGGCATTTCGAGATGCAGAGAGATTGCATAGCCAATTTGAATCCATCGAGGACTGATTGGAACATAGACGTGAAGATTTTGAGTATTTCTTACAAGAGAGAGTTCATGGTGAAAAGGGTTCTAATCCTTGCTGATCAAAGGGTAATTTTCTATATAACTTACATATAGCAATTGTTTGTCACTTCCATATAGTCATTGAATCGATTTCTAGAATGATTTACATATAGCAATTGAAGCAATACTGAATTTTTGTGATCATGGTCGGACATAAAGTTGTAGGTAGGTGAATTCTAAATGTAATTGCGCTAAACGAAAGTCTTAAGAACTCTATAACATATTAATCACTTGAACTGCTTAATATATTAAACTGATTGATTTACATGTAGTAATTGATGAAACACTGAAATTTTATTGAAGGGTGATCGGATTGAGGCTTCTATATGCTATCAGACTTTTAAACACTCTGTACCTAATCATATTTATGATGGGGAATGGTATAACATTCGAGATTTCAAGGTCATCAAGCCAGTGTTGCCAGAACGGAACACCAACCACCAGTACCAGATAAAATATTTTGAGAAGACAGACATGATGATCCTAGGTACTCTGTCCGCCAGAGATTATTACCGATTTGAAGATTTTAGTCATGTTTTCAAAGGAGTCATCCCATTCAATAATTTGTATGGTAAGTTTGTTCTTCTTTTACAACATGTTGTAATAATTTTAGTAAGTTTAAAGTAATCAATTTTAACAAAGTTTGTCTTATTGCGAGTCATGCTAGATTTCTATGGTTCTGTTATTGATGTTGGTCCTATGAAAGAAGAGTTTAGAAAAGTGGATGAGTATGGTAATACTTATGGTGTCAATTCTCTGGTTTTCAAACTTATTAATGGAAGGTAAATTGCTAAACATTGCTAAAATTATGTTCAATCTACATTGAATTGTTTGCTTTTATTTTGGAATACTTATAGAGTGTTTCCTGTTACAAGGATGAACATATCTTCTGTCATTTAAGAGGATACAGTGCTGACAAGTTCTTAACCGAATGGACATCAAAGGGTTACAATACTACATTCAAAGTAAACCCAGTCTTTTGTGTTCTCAGGTTTTGGAGATTGTCATCCTTTCAAGGTAACAACTATATTTAATTCTATACATATGATATGGACATGAATCTATAGAACGGATAAAGAACTAGGACCCGATTCTTTCTACATGTTACATCTTAGGGAAGCCGTGTATTACCAATGATGCTGAAGATGATTGCGGATTTTCAAGGACAATTCTAAATCCAGACAATCCTGGACTTCAACACCACAAAATAAGGTAATTTCTAATATGCTGTCTATTGCCAATATTTGTCAATATGTTGCTTCTCTTATATATAATCTTACCAATGTAAAATATTAAATTTTGTAGCTTTGAATTTGCTGCATCTTATCATTTCAACAAGTCTACTAACTACGGAGAAGAAGATACAACCCATGCAACAATAGTATAGAAGTCTACTGGTCTGTTGGATCATTTTTTGATTAGTTGTAACTTTATTTCATAACTTCATGGGAAAAACATTGTCCCAGTTTCAGTTTTTACCTAAACGGTTGTTCTAAGTATTGCTTTATATATACTAATGTAACTTAAAAGTTTTAAGAATTATATAAATTATGCCATCTACTCAAGCACAATTTATATGTATTACTTTCAATCATAAATATAAAATTCATTTATATTTGATCATTCATATCGGCGGATTCAAAAAATTAGAATAGAAGGGAACAATATTATATACAAAAGAAGATGGTGAGCAAAAAATAGGATTTATCATCCTTATTAAGCACGCAATAAATCATTCAATAGTATTGATTTCGTAACATTTAAGATATCTCATTCAATATAGTTACCCAATATAACAAATATGGCAATTTGTTTCTTTGTAAAATTGTAGCCCAAATCCATAAGAATTTATCTTTCAAATATCTACAAACATATGAACTAATATTCTCATTGATTTTATTTTTGTTATTCGAGATGTTAATATCAATTCGTATTCAAAATACAAAGCAAATGATATATATTTTTCCCGTGAACCGCGGCGAAGCGCGGGTTATTTCCCTAGTAACAAATTATATAACTTAGCTCTAAAGAAAATGAATATTAAAAAGGGTGAGTTAAAAATTAGTACTTAGTTAAAAAGAAAACAAAAAAGGAAGGAAGTAATAATGAGAAAATTAGTTCACTCACGTGCATCCACTCGAAATTATGTGGCTGTCTGTGACTTGATTTAGAAAAAAACAATTATTTTTTCCATTAATAGGGCAGGATACAGAGAATCAATATTCTCTGCATATATCTCTGACGAAATCTCTGAAGCACCGACCTGGGAAAGATTATTACAGAAACAATCTTAGCAATAGTTAGATAACACTACTAATCAGTGATTGATAGAATTTTGTTTTCACGATAATTTACATATATAATATGTTAAATTATTATTTTTGCTATAAAAATAAAAATTAATATGTTTCTGAAATTGTATATCAAAGAATGTTTCTTTCGCGTTCGACTACACCGTTTGGAAACATAGTGTATCACCAAAAACAATAAAAACAGTGATTTGTATGAATACTTTATACATTAATTTATTCTTGGTCCAAACTTTAACTTCTCTTTATATTAATATACTATTCATATTAGATAGATTAACACTGTTCACTTTACGATATAGTAAAATATTTTGCAAGTTTAGTGTATAACTATTTGTTTATCGTTGTAAGTAATATGATATCGCAATAAGTTTACATGTTGATATCGATATATATATAAGTTTTAAAATCAAATTCTGTCGATATTGTTCGAACAAAAATATTTATCAGTTAGATGATTATTTATTGGATTAGCACGCTAACAAAATATATGTATAAATAAGTTTATGGATATATCATGTTAAGTCATATTGTTTCGCGATAAGTTGTTGATTAAGGTGATAGATTCATAATTATCGTACTAACTCATTTACTATATCAAATATAAGAAAATAAAGGTAAGGTCTTAGGTGAATTTGGTTGTTATTTAAGATAGCTAACTATTTTATTAGTATGATATGTATTAATATATCTTTTGATAACATGTTGATGGAACATTAACAATGAAAATATTGTTCATTTGACGGTGAAAACATGGTTCTTATCGAGTAACAAGTAAAAGACATTGTGGTTATTTATTTGATTAACATTGTAAATCACATTTTATCCGATAATTCTATAAATAATGGGATAACATTATATTTATCGTGGTAAATTATTTATTATATGTATGGTATCAACTAGTTTATATATTAATCTATTTGTATACTTCTATAAATTAGTTATTATCTTACCCTATACATTAATATATTTATTTACATGATAATTTAATACTTAGGTTTAACTTATATGCTAACATCTTATATATGTTGTTAATTACTTTGTTATCTATACATAAAAAATGAACCCAGAAAAATGTGACAATAGTTGTTGCCATCAATGACTATCACTTTTGATCGATTGACTGCTTCAAAAATTTAATCCAACTCACTCCTGCCGTCTCTATCTCCATTTCAGCCCGCCACTTCGTTTGATCTAACTTCACAACCAACTATTTTCAGCCGTAATTACCGCAACCAGTATAATCATTATCGCCTCCAAAAAATCATCACAACTACGTCTATCAGATCCATCAAACACTAATCGTTCATTGGGCTACCGGTAATAAAGATGAGAATTCAATTCTTGGAGAGGAGAAGCAGGGCTACGGTTCTCAAATTTCCGATGAGGAAGCAAAGTTTGTATAAGGGAGAATAGAGAGAGAAAGATGAACATGGCCAGACTGAATAAAAACTCAAAACCCATAAACCAAATAAACAGTCCAAATGACACATCTAAGGATTTATCAGTTAAGGGATGAGATGACTGAAATACAAACAAAAAAAAAAACATTTTAGTTTTTTTCTTTTCTTATGCAAAAAAAAATATACAAACATAGATATTAGACTGCTCACCATATCCTATAATATTAGCCAGCTTTATTAGCCTTCACAATAGGGTTAAAATCGTTATATAGATTAGGCACCTAAATATTGAATGTTGGGAGCTAGATACTTCAATAAAACTTCTTAGAAGTGTAGTTTCCCTACTAAAAATCAATAAGTTAGTCAACTTCAACTTACTCTTAAGTCTTAATTAATATTTAATAATTGCATTGAAAGTGTTAATGTCTAAATAAATTAGTCATTAACATAGTTATTTTAGTAATCAGAAAATATTTATTGGAATATCGATCTTTATTTATATAATATAATATATAATCCCGGATCTAAAATAAAAGTATAGCTTAATAATAACTTAAAAACAAAATTTATATATTTATTATATATTTAAAATTGAAAACGATAATGATGGAAATAATTATGGTTAATTTGTTAAAGAACATATGGATAAAGGTAGATATATAGTAGTTATATGCTAACCTTTTTGTATTATATTTGCAAAATATTTAAACATATAAAAATTGATAGTTTAAATCTGAAAATATTGAAAGTGATACATAAAAGTTATTTATACAAGGAGAATGCAAAATCATAAACCGGTATTAATTGCGTCTTTAACTAGCCAAAATTTACTATACATAAATAAAAATAAAAATAAAATAAATTTATATATTAATATATAATTTTGTAAATCTAAAATATTAAAGATAGAGAAAAACTACTATTTTATATATATCGTATATATACTATTTTTAAAACGGTAAAGATTAAAATAATTAGTAATTTAATCAAGATAACAAGGAAATTTTAGAATACTACATAGTACATATATTTACTTATTCACCATCTGATCGACATAACAGTAGAAGAGAATCTTCCTCCTCCGGTTGCTCGAGTACAACTTCCTAGAGATATCACGGAGATCATCATCGCACGCGTGCCGAGATGTTATCAACCGAACCTATCTCTCGTCTGCAAAGCCTTTCGTCAACTAATCACTTCGCCGCAGCACTTCTCAACGCGCTTGCTCCACGGCTTCACCGAACCGGTTCTTTATGCCTTGATCGGAGAACCATTTAAGATTACTCCCCTAAGCTGGTCCATTCTCTATCGTAGCAACCTCCCTTTACGGTTCCGCAGAGTCCCTACACTTCGTCCCATCTTACCTGGATGTGCTGGCGTCACAGTCGGACACAAGATTTACGTTATGGGTGGTTACGTCCCCAAAACGACTGCGATTTTCATCGACTGCCGATTGCATACGTTGGAGAATCTCCCAGATATGCAAAGGGCTCGTTGCTATGCAGCCGCTGGAGTGATCGACGGAAAGATTTATGTAATCGGGGGTTACCAGAAACGAGATGATGATTGGGTCGAAGTGTACGATGTAGAGCGTCGGGTTTGGGAAACTGTGCCTAGTCAATCCCCTGACGATGCTACTCTTGATGGAACGTTTGGTATAACTCAAGCCCGCACGGATTTATTGGGCTCCATCCCAGGCCTCATACTAATTGGAGTTGGACTTGACTTATATATTAGAAACTTCTCTTTCTAATCTTCCGATGTGGGATATTGGTTTGTATTCCAATACTGTGGTGATGCAGGGGAGAATATTCTTTCGGATTCTTAATTGTTGTTTGGCTTACGATCCAAGACAAGGTCTATGGCAGTCATGGGGACTTGAAAGTCAACTGATGAGATTTTGGAACTCCACGTCTTGTGTGGTTGGAGATTTGTTGTATACCGTTGATCGTACGTTTTCTCTTGTGCATCCAATAGTGGTATATTATCCGAATGAATTGGTTTGGAGACCTCTGATGGGTGTATCCGCTTATGATTTGCGTATGCTCAATTATGAATGGTCTAAGATGGCCAATTTTGGTGGCAAGTTGGTGATTTTAAGCCGATATTATGGGCGCCCACATGAGATTTGCTGTGTAGTGACTGCGTTGGAAACTCGTCAAGGAGGTCAGATTCAGGGGAAGGTGGAATCAGTCTCGCATGTGTATAGAGACGTGTTTCCTTACATTGAGCTTTGTGGAACTGTTACGGTTTGATGATACAAATCGTGGTGGATTGTTTCTTGCAGGTATGTGTCAGTGATGTTGAGTTTGGACTACTGATCATGATGAATTATGATGTTTCAGACATTTTCTTGCGACTCAAGTCTGATTTAGGCTTTCATAAACTTGCAGGTGAGGAGTCTTTATATACATCTACTGTTTGAGAAGCTTGTTGATATGAGAGCAAATATGAAGCAAAAGTGGTGCAGAAGTAACTAGCCCTTCTTTAATCTTTGTGCACAATGTGTAGAGTTGGTCATTTGTTTTAGCCTCTATACAAAAAAAGAAAAAAAAAAAAAACTACGAAACCTGTTGAAATGCATCTTTATATTATAGGTTTTTTTTTCACTAACATGGTCTCAATTACTTTATATTTGATTTTAGTTTTAGAAATCAGATTAGTTTCCGCTAATGAAACCTAATCTCTGCTGGTTTTTGATTACATGGGTGACAACAATATAAAAGTGTTTTATCAAAAAAAAAAATATATATATATATATATATATATATATATATATATAAAAGTTTGGAAGTACAAAGTAGTGATGAAGGCTGAAGTTTATTTATACATAGAAACATACAAAAAGAGAAGATTATATTATTTGTATTAAACTCTGTTATATATCAATGTAAAAAGACTCATGGTGCTTCAAGTATATTAATATGACTATATAAGCAATATAAAATCAAAACTAACCTGATTATTAACATGTGAAACTTAATTACCAAACAGCCAGCTTCTGGCTGTGCATATTTAAGAGATTGGTACTTCATTTCTTCATCATCATTGATCTGCACTGTGACATCTCTGGTTCTTTAACTGTTGGATTTCAATCCCTCCATAATCGAGTAAGGTAAAACAGAGAAGGGCATTGAGATTACCTGAATGTGCCGACCTTAGAATAGATAATATCGCCAACTCAAGAAAAATTGATCTCTCAGCATCCTTTTCAGCAGTACCCCAGTTGAGAAAGCACTTGAATTCAACATTTAAAAGACAAATTAGGGTTTCTAAGTAAAGAGAACAAAGAGACTTGTGAGTCAAGTAATCACGTTCAGAGACATTTGACTCAATTTTTATAGATTATAGATTTTACCATTGGTGAACTGTTATTAAGGTAAAAAGCTTAAACGAACAAAGTAAAATAAATAAATAGAAACCTGTTATAAGGAAAAAAAAAAAGTATGCTGACATGAATTGAACATAGTAAAATTGTAGGGGTATAATATTGGCTATTTCCAAGAATCCAACTTGTATATTACCAATCATACTGTTGAATTAAGCTTGAATGGATAACTTGAGATGGGAGCTATCCTAATCCTAAACCGAGCTATGGTTTAATTAGAGATAAGGATCGATATATTTAGGAGTCATCTAAGTATATGTATTTCTAATAGGATTAGGATTAAGGTTTTCATATATATAGAGATGTCGAGTGATGTATGAGATTTTGAAGTTTTGAGTAAGTTTCTTAAGCAAATAAAGAGAGTTGATTCTTTATAAATTTTTGTGATCTAGACATACAAGAAGAAGGAAACTAGTCGATGATGGAGAAACAAGAAGAAGAAGAGGAGAAGAGAAAAAGGTTGTGTCCATCATCCAAGACGTCCCTCTCCCTTCCTCTGGATCTTATCTGGGAGGTGCTCATAAGGCTGCCTGCTAGAGGTATTGGGAAGTCTCGCTGCGTGTCGAAGCTCTGGTTGTCCTACACAACACTTGCATCTTTCAACAACTTGTTCACAGCTCGGTTCTCGCAAAGTCCATGTGTTCTCGCCTTCAAAATCCGAGGCGAC